GTGGACTTCAACTCCCAGAATTCCTCAGCCAGCACGAGTCCACAAGTCATAAAGTGGCCAAGGTTGGGGAATTCTGCCATAGGTGCTTTTAGCTAATACATGTAAAGCTGGTCAGGTAGGCTATCTCTCCTAGAATGTGGTACATGAAAAAAAATACAACACTTTACTCTTTTGGTTGCACAGATTTTCCTTTCAAAAATAATGTCATTAAGTTGTTAACAGGCAGTCCTCGACTTATGATCACAATTAAGCTCAAAATAAACGAGGCAGTTGTTAAGTGAGTTTTGCCCCATTTTACGACCTTTTCTGTCACCGTTGTTAAGTGAATCACTGCAGTTGTTAAATTAGTAACACGGCTGTTAAATGAATCTGGCTTCCCCATTGACTTTGCTTGTCAGGTCATAAAAGGAGATCACATGTCCCGGGACACTGCAACCCTCATAAGCACAGGCCAGTTGCCAAGTGTCCGAATTTTGATCACGTGACTGTGGGGATGCTACAACTGTGTAAGTTTGAAACACAGTTATGAGTCACTTTTTTCAGTGCCATTGTAACTTCAAATGGTCACTAAATGAACGGTTGTAAGTTGTAATTTGAGGACGTCTTGTATTTCCCTCCAAAATTGTATATGGAGGCATGAATACTAACTTTGGGACTGCTCTCTGACAGGTAATATACAACTTTTCTCCTTGTTCCCATTTTTGCCTGCTGTGATCTCTGTATTGTGTCTGTGAAAAATGTGCTTCATTAAAATTTCAGCTTTTCATTCTGCACTTAATCTGTAACAATACAAGCCAAGTTTCACAATACACTCAGACAACAACTTTTATTTGGTGTTGTTTTTTAAATGTTGCATAGGCTAATTAATTTAGCATGCTGTGAAAAACCCCAATCCGTTATCGCTTATTCAGAAGATCATGGTTAAACAAACCATTGGTTAATACAGTGCATTTGCCCAATCGTAATTAGTTCATACTGAAACTTGGTCACATCAGTACTTGGACCAATTGTGATTTCCTGCTATGCTCTCATATATGGGAGCTAATCAAAGTACGGATGGGGTTTTACTTATCATCGGAGACTGAGCATCTTTTCAGCATCTTTTTGGCCCTCCTTGCAACATGACCAAGTTTCTTCAGCTCGCACATGTGGACATTTGTATAATTCTGCCCATATTTTGGATTGTTATCCAAATTAGAAACTATATACAGCATTTGGCTTATTTTTATAAACAAAGAATCTCAAAATACTGTATATGAACTTATTTGCTTGCTTAAGTAGTTGATTATTTATTTTTAAAATGACTTAAGGTCTAGCTATTTCTTATAGTTGGGAACCTGCCCAGTTACTTAGATTAGCAGCAGAGGCCCTCCTGGAGATGCCCTCATATTCAGGATCTCCATTACTGGCTATATAGGATAGGCCAGAGATAGGCAACCTTGGCTCTTTTATGACTCATGGACTAACTCCCATGCTGGCTCAGGAATTCTGGGAGTTGAAGTCCACGAGTCATAAAAGAGCCAAGGTTGCCTACCCCTGGGATAGGCCATCTTGTCTATGACTTCCAAGCAATAAAATGTTCTTCCCAGAGAGATGCATTTAGCTCTCCTACTCCCAGGAAATGATCAAGTGGCAGAAATGTATTTCTTTCATCAAACTTGGTCACATTGTTATTGTTATTTTGTTATTGTTGCTATTGATTTTAATGTTGACTGTACTGGTTCCACTGACATAAGTGGACACTTAATTATGGCAAAACTGCTCTGAGTGCTTATATAAGAAAAAAAGATAGGATGTAAAATTAATAATATGAAATAAATAAATAATGCTGTACGTATATAAATATGGACCCCAGGGGAGCACATTTTTTGAAATATCTCAAGTTAAAAAATAATCCTAACAATAGAAGTCTAGCATAACACTTGCACTTAACAAAATTTAAAACGTGCTCCTCAATCTGAACTAATACATTGTTTTATTTTGGCATTTTATCACACAGTTCCTGCACACAGCCATATTTTTGCACGTGAAAACCTAATCTCAGCTCAGGTATCCTAATCTCATCCAGTCCAATCCAATCCAATCGAAATCCAATCTAACCCAAATACAATTTATTTTGCTAACACTATTGAGTAAGAAAGAAAATTAGATGATTTGTTTTCTGTGAACTGCAACTATTCTTGACCTGGTATCTCCTAAGCTTTTTTTCCTGGAAATTGTTCCCCAACTTTTCCAAGTGACGTATCTTAAATGTAACCTGTACAGCCCTTGTTTCCTCTAAACCTCAAGATCACCACCACTATCACTAATTCATTTATTATAGGTGCTTTTGTGCCATTTCAGTCAAGTGAATCTATGCAATCTACAAAAGCAAACATGACCAAAGTGACATATAATATCAAGAAACCACGACTGCATAGCGACTTTGACTTTAGGATTTCTAGTTGCTAAAACAAATCAAGAAACACAGAATATCAATTTACATTGTCTGTTGGCACGAAAAGGATCTGAGTAACAGTAATTATTATTTATTCTAATGGAATTTCATCAAAGAACACTCAATAGCTTATTGGGCCATATCACTTTATAATAGTAAATCACCATTTATCACCATTTGTGTATTGATCTCTATAAAAGCAGAATATATGACATTAAATCTTAATTCACTAAAGACATACCTACAAGGTATACAAAGAGATGGTTGTCAATAGACAATTCCTCAGCCCCCATTTTGCAACACCCAGAGCAGCCACAGAGTGCACTGTGGCAAAAGCAGAAGTTTTCAGTGCTGTAATTTAATAACAGAAATAGAATAAGAGACAAAACTTCCAATCCTCTACATCTCTGATGACATGTAATAAAATCCAAGCACATTTTTATTGTTTACTGTAACTAAATGATGGGGGTCCAGATTATTTAGATAGAAGATAGTGTAATTAATCTATCAAGTAAAGATGCTCTATAGCAGTGATGGTGAACCTTTTAGAGACCGAGTGCCCAAACTGCAACCCAAAACCCACTTATGTATCATCGGGTGCCAGGTGGGTGTGGCCCATTGGGTGGGTATGGCCAATTGGATGGGCGTGGCCCATTGGGTGGGTGTGGCTGCAGTGGTAGCGGCAGACTGGGTGGGACTAAAAAGTTCAATCAATTCCAACTTTGCGAGATCTTTTTTTCCCGCGAGAAGTTGAAATTGATTGATTGAACCTTTTTTTTTTTTACACACGGCGGTAGAAGCCTAAAGCGAAAAGGTTTTATAAAACCCAGCTGAAGACCTAAGATTGGGGCAACGGCGCGCGTGCCCACGGAAAGGGCTCTGCGTGCCACCTGTGGCACGCATGCCATAGGTTCGCCACCACTGCTCTATAGTTTACTGTCTTTCCATCCCCCTGAACTTCAGATATATGTTGAATTTCATCCTCTTCATAATCATACAAACTAACAAATATAAGAAATAAACAAATTTTGAAGTTACTGTAACATTTGAAATTTTGTATTCTTGGTAGAACAGAGTGCTCTTTGTCCCACTTCAATGGAAGCTGAGTAGTAAAATCAGATCTGACTGTTCCTTACCTTTTATATTTGAGATTAACTGGATAGACTCAATGAGAGGGCTGATGGTTTCACAACTGGAAAATCTGAAGAACCAGCCTCACCATGGAGAAAATCTGTATGGTTGCTAAAAGGCGACACCAACTTGATGGCACATCATATGTCAATCAAAGACTCCAAAGTTCTGGCCGACCCTACATAAAAAAAGATAGATGGTAAAATGGACAAAGACTAGAAAGAACCGAAACACCCTATACCAGAGGTTTTCAAACTTGGCCCTTTTATGACTTGTGGACTCCAACTCCCAGAATTCCTCAGCCAGGCACGCTGGCTGAGGAATTCTGGGAGTTGAAGTCCACAAGTCATAAAAGGGCCAAATTTGAAGACCCCTGCCCTATAATGGAAACTCATCTGGTGGATTTGCATTAGTCACTCTTTTTCAGCCTGGTCTTCCAAAACTTGTAATGGAGATAAAATGAAAGTACATTTCCAAGCTACCTGTCTGGAGAAAAGGCAGAATGTAATTCCAATTTAAAAAAGCAATTAAATAATAATAATGTTCCTTCTAGAATTATCTTAATATTATCAACATGAATTGCATGAATTGCAACAAGTACACCAGTGGGTCTATATAACAATAACAGTGCCAATTCATAATAGTATAAGTGTGATTTACTGTATATGAATTATGGACTCAGGATAAAATCAATATTTAGCTGGAAGCCTAGCCTTGTACACTGCAGCATTCAAATGTTTTTCTTTGCTGATCCTTTTCTTATCAATACACTAGAGGAACAGGATGCAGATGCTATTTATTGTATTCCATGAGGATTTGCACCATACAATTAATTATAGAGGAGGAAAAATGCTTTACAGCAGAAGAAAGTTAATAGAAATGGGGGGGGGGGGTTTCTACTTCTATGCAGCCTTATTTCACAATAATAAAAAACAGGTTTTCAAAATTCAATACTGATGTCTCAAACGACCTTAAATTCTGCTAGCAGATGGGATTGCCCTGTGAACATAGATGTTGGGGCAGCTAATTGGGTTGAGGTTTAATTTCATACATTTCATGAAACATGAGTGGTTAAGTTTAGATTTTGAGGATCGGTATTTCTGGTATTCTCTTTCTACGAAGAACATGTAGTATAATGTAGTTGATAGAAAATATCACTGTGAGGAAATGCCTTTTGGCTCCAATATTTTGTTTAAAAGCTAACCTTTGGCAAATGTTGGCATTTTTTAAATAAGATGTTGTGAATTCTGCTGTTCAGAGGATCCTGCATATTGTTGAATTGCATTGTGCTCATATTGATAGTTAACTAATATTTTCTGGCAGCATGTCTCCAGAATAATTTTCTACTTGGAACATTTTCAGATCTCTAAGCTGAAATAAAAAGAGTCATTCCATTGCATTTGTATTTAATCATGCATTGTTTTTCTTTTAGGAAATCCATGAGTTATTAAAACACTTTGAGCTGAAGTATTGTTATGTGGACAAACATAAAAGAACAGGTAAAAACTTGCAATGTAATAGTTATTCTAATAGATGTGGCTATTTGGGTTAATTTTAGATCTCACAATTTAATAAGAGTTTAATTTAATAACATTAAATTGTTGCTTCAGTGTGTTTATGTGTGTGTGTGTGTGTGTGTGTGTGTGTGTGTGTGTGTCAGAAACCAACATTTACCTCATGTTTCTTTCCTGCACACTGATTCTTTTCTTAATATTCACAAATCATATTGTACTAGTTTGTTTGAATAACAAACAATGACAAATCGAAAAAGGTGCCTGGGAATTGTAGTATATGAGAGGAAAATATGTTCAAATTATAATTTTATGCCATCAGAACATTTCAGAATTAGTTTAATATGATTAAATCTGAAGTTATACTCTTACATGAACATTAAAATAAAGAGATTTATAATTACTACTTTCTATTTTGGATTTGAAAGGGATTCAAAAATGTTGGAAACCCTATATTTTTTAAATTAGGGACAAATTTTTAGCCTATAGTGCTTATTCTACTAGGAATCAGTTTAGAAATACATATTCACAATTTAATTGTTCAGTATCAATAACTTGAATGTGCAAAGTGACCACTGAAGAGGAAATGCTACTAGCAAATTATTATTGATTAAATTTATATAGCTGCCCATCTTACCAAAGGCAAACCTTTCCTCTAAATTAATGTCTCATTGAACTTTGTAAGTACTAGACTATTAGTGTGTACCATCAATGAATTTTAATCTTTGTTTAAAAAATGAATGAGTGACAATCAAATTTAAAGTGCTTTTGCATTATTGATACATGAGAATAGAATTTAATGATGGTTAAAATTGTTTAGGGGTTTTACAGTTTGGAGGCAACAACTAGTTGAAACTTAGGAGAGCTATAGAGCAGAACGTCTGAAGTGCAACTTGCTGCCTACCATTGTTATAATTATGGTGGG